TATATATATACCACCCTTCAAATTTATTTCATCATAACATTCATAACCCTTCAGAAAATAATAATACATAATATATTTCAAGCATAATATGGCTCACAGTGAGATCGCAAATTGGAACAAATTAATGATATGGTTTTCATATAAAGTCATCTAAATTTAAGGAATCTTAAATTTCCTTAAATATTCGTAGTGCAAAATTATCAGTTTTGACAATAAATAAAATAATATGTATATGTATTCGAAATTTAAAATAAAATTTAATTCACTAGTACATATATATATGTATATAGGTAAATTTATTAAATTAAATTTAAAAATACGTACTTTTATTTTCTCTTATTTAGATTACCTTTAGGATATTATATCTCATTTATCAGTAAACTTTATATAATATTAAGAGTACATTGTTATACATTATTTTCACGGCCATAACATATTCATATACTTATATATGAATACAAAAGTATTCGCATATACTTACCCCACCAATGTGGCACCAATGTTTCAACCGAAGAGTCTCCAGTTCAAACCCCGGGCAGGTTAATATAAATAATTATATTCAATTTTACTTAGTTTAATATACAATATTATAAAACAAAAATTAATTAAAAAAAATTACTGACTAATTTTAACTTTCCTAACTAAAACCCAGCATGCACTAGCCTTATAGTATGTATTTACTATGATATTATATATGACAAGGTGATTTATGGTTTATTAAGGTGATACGAAATTTCAGCGTTGTACCTCCGTTATGTTTGTAATTTATATTGAATTTACCAAAATAATTTAGCAAAAATAATTTGACTAAAAACTTGTTATTTTTTAAAATGAATAATGTAACAATAAAGAAAAAACAATTTTTTTGTATCTTGTTTTAAAGGAACATTGTTAAAACTAATAATTATATAAATTACATTAGTAAAAAACTGAAGTAACATTAGAATAAATTTACTACAAGAGAATAAACCCACTTTGAATGTTGATTTAAATAATTAAATATTGAATAGTTAAATTTAAAATTATTATTAATTAAAGTATTTTTTATGTTTTAAATAAAAATTATTTCTAAATGAATTTTCCCGCGATAAAATTGAAACAATTGTACACAACCCTACAAAAATTTATGAATTATTATTTTTTCAATTTCTCGGTTCACTTAAACTCGAGATATGACCATTCAATACTTTTACCATAAATACTTATTATATATACCTACTTGTGAGTATATTAATTTTCAATTTATAATCAACGTCTTTGTATTATTCCAATAACAATAACATCTTTGAAGATTATATTTAAAATTCTTGCATAACATACATATGTATATATTTACGTATGTACTCGTATATAAAGATATTTTAAACCAAATTTCTTCTTTATACATTTTGGTTTTAGTACTTGACATCTTTTATGTAGTTCATTACTTGTACAATTTTTCTATACATACATATTATGCAATTCTTCTATATACTCGTATTACATATATATTAGACTAGATATCGATTAATAAATTAATTCCTGATGCCCTCAATTAATGAATCTAGGTATAATTGAATCACAACGTATGTAATGGAATCCAAAAAATTCTTACATTGTTTTAGATCTTGTTTGTCTTCTGGCCAGCCTTGTTATGCGCTTATACATGTAATAGCCGACGGTCATTATCCCTACAAAATGGTTCAAAAATAATGTGTAAATAGATATGTACATATACACGTATATACATAGGTTTTTAAAAATTGGAAATTTCATTATTGAGAGAATAAATTTTTTCAGATAGGTATGTAAAACATTTTTGAAATTACATACCTCAAATAGCTGCATGAAAAGTGTTCAAATAATGTTCTAATTATTATACATACATATTCGAATTCTAAAATTTAATTTACGAGCATTGTTGGTCCACTTCTTCATTCATTGACATATAAAAAAACATATCTGAAAAGTAAATTTTATTTTTGATTAAGCATGTTTAAGTAGAAAGTAGAAGAAACATGTTTAAGTAGAAATCGAAAATGAATCTGATCTGGGCTCAAATCAAATTATTAATCAAAGGGATGTTCACACAACAACTGCCTCCTTTATACAGAAAAAACTTAAAACAAATACAGAAAGATTATTATATAAAAATTTTTTATTGTGTAATAGAAGTAATGGAATGCATAAAAAAAGAAAGAATCAGGAAGAAAAGATTCATTGTCTCTTTCCCTTTCGTTTATTCCCTTTCCTTTATTAGCACTTTTCCAAAAATTTTTTGAAAAAAAGTGCTTATTAGTTTCACTCTGTCCGTCCGTCCGTGGACACTTTTTTTCTTTACAAAACTTCTACATTCTCGAAGGTAGAAAGCTGAAATTTAATACGTACATAGATCTTTACTAGAAACTTATTCCTGTAGAACAAAATTTTTACTCCTCTAGAAGTTATACCCCCCCAAAATCCTAAAAATGCCATTTTTTAACTATTTAGTGCAGTGAAACCATAAGTATTTTTTAAATTTTGCAAACGCAGAAAGACAGTGGCTTGCTTCCCCTAGCGCGGTATACTATAGTTAAACTTTAAAAAAACAAAATGGCCGTTCAAATTTACTGTTATCTATAGTTCGTTTTTTCCAAATTTTTGATGTGGTTTTTCTTCTAGACCCCAGTTAAGTTCACCCCCTCTCAAGTTATCGTCTCTTGAAATTTGTAAAATTTGAATTTTTGACACCTTATATTTCCGAAACCGCAAGATTTTTAAAATTTCTATAAACGCAAAAAGCTAACGATAAATTCCATGACATTAAAAAATATAATTATTTTTTTTAACTCACACAATTAACCCTTAAAATCGAACATTATGTTAACCCCACTTTATATTAATTTTCGCTTTATTTCAAAAACTGCATAAACCGTTCATCCTAAATATATGCAATCCTAGAAATAGTTTCGTTTATGAATGAAAATAATTTTAATAGTGTGGTGGATATACTTACATAGACTGTATTTAAAAGCAGTATTTTCACTTGTTGAAGGGAAAAGTTCTACAATACAAACCATTGATTTGACCCAACTTTATTTTTTTAATATTCTTTTCTATTCCAAATTATGGTTGATAGTATTTATTTTAATCGGCGTTATTTCAATATCACATAATTAGGCAGCTTTTCTTTCTAACGATATGAGTCCACTTTTAACAAAATTTAGAAGATAGACGACACCGTCTACCTAAAGCATGTAAATATTGCAAGTGAAAAAATGAAATTTATCGCTTTCAAAAAAGACAGTTATTTTTTTAATGTCATTTAGGCACTTTTATATTCTAAAATTCTTGCACAGTAGTTTTTGACATAAAATGAACTATCTTACTATCAATGTTTTCTATCAATGTTATCTACTATCAATGTTGTCTAACTGTTAACAAAGTTGAAATTTTCTTATTAGTATAATTTTTCTTTTATTTGTGTAAATTTTTACTAAAAAAAACTATTTCCAATAAATTTTAATCTTTAAAAATTTTCTAACTTAAAGAACATATGTATACATATTATGCACATATGTATTCAATTCAATCTCTTTTTATTATTTGAGATAAATTGAACTAATAAAAAAACTGAACGTGGGTGAAAATATTATTCGGGGGCGGAATTAATGTGCTATATAACAGTATTTGAAGAAGTACTTGCTCTTACAAATTTAAAGGATAGTAAAAAAAATAAAAATTTAATTTTCTTTATAATAACACAAAAGTATCGCTTAAAGTTTTTTTATTTCATTTTTTTCTAAATAAATTTAAATAAATTTTTCTCTTCTTTTGTGTGCATTTAAATTACAGAAAGGTATATATGTATAGTCTTATCAAGAATAACTAAGGCTCACAATTCGAAAAAATATATTTTTTATCAAAAAACAAGAGATTTAAATATAAAGAAAGGTATAATATTTCCAATTTTCTTAAAGGAGTAAGTTGAACATGAAAAGTATTCTGTTTTAAATAAAAGAAAAAAAACTAAAATTAACGGAACCCGGTAACATATAAATAGACCCCTGTTGTTTATTTACATTCTCCGTTTAGATATTAAAAATATTTTTAATTTTTTTAAATTTAAGTTTATATTAGCATTTTAATTGCGAAAAGTAGAACTTAGTGTTTTGAGTTCGAAAAATAGAATTTCGTAAATATTGTAAATTATACACAAATTTAAGTTAATCTTCTTTTTAATTAACAATAATATAGAATTGGATAAATGAAAATAGTTTTATTCAATATTTATGTGTAACATTCGATCGGAAAATATAATATATGTTCTTTTTATTAACATTTCTTGTAAAACATTTTGCTAAATGACTACAATCTTTAACTTATGCATATTTTGATGTTTTGTTTTAGATATCATAGTATACGAATGCGGGTATATCTACAAACTAATTTCTATAGTGTGTTATTTTCTTTTCATTAAAATAATGTTTTATAGCCATTTTATGTATAATTTATTCATTTTTATAAAGAATATGATGGGTATGCAACCCCACAAATAAACATATAGTCATTTAACATAAATTTATTAATTATCAAAATGGGTAAACTGTCTGCATGACTAAGATTCACTTATATTTAATCATTTTTCCATAAACCACCTCCCTATTTTCTAAAAGACCGCAGATTATTAGATTTATGTATATATTGTATATGCTAAAAAAAAAGAAAGAAAAAATCCTTAAAAATTTTGCCAATTTGTGTTCTTTTTTAACGCAGTCTTTTTTGTAGAGTTCAAATTTTTTTTAAGTTTGATTTCGAAAATTACTGTTGATTATTAACACAACAAACGAATATTACACATCATAAATATGAAATACAGTTACATGACAAAATCTTGTAAGACAAAATTGTGTATTATGTATCTAGGACAATGTTGTGCGGGAAAAAATTTGGACGGATATATAAAAGTCAAAAACAAACATGTAATTTTGTCCATGCATATGATGTTTTATATATGAATGTAGTTTTGTTTTGTGGTCGATGTAATAAAAGTTAAATATGCTATTTAAATCTGTATGAACATTTGATAGGAAAATTAAATGGAATGAAGAATTTAAAGTTTTAATTTTTAGCGAGTACAAAAAGCATTTAACTCTTTTTTTGCCCAAACTTTAGTTTAGGCGACGGTGGCAGATAGAGAAATTAACAACCGCGAAAAATGTTACTCAGCAAAATTATACAAAATTTTAAGATTAATAACAAATTATTTTTATTTTGCTTACTCATTAAAATATTTTTTTCATAGGTCTAAGAACAAAAATTTGAACATCTTAACATATTTTCATTCAAAAATTTATGATGGTAAAAGTATATAAAAGAGCATTACAGTTCGTTTACTATTTCAAGATATTCATTATAGCCAAAGTAGTTAATTATCATCCTATTGTTCATTATAGATCTGTTATCGAATATTTTCATCTTCTTCGAAAAAGTTTCGAATCAAATAACTAAAATATGTTTTTCAACTTTAAGCGCGTCATCCATTTTTTCTGTTTAACATCATGTACTTTAATCCTGATCCTTTCCAAATATTGTTTACAAAGTTTTCCAATATGATTAAAGTTCTATTAAAGGAAAAGTTGGTAAACTCTTGAACTTTGTTGTTTTTTTTTGTAAATTGAAATTTATGATTTAATAAGGGGAAACAAGTACCTTATAAGTTAATAAATACATAATGTATAAACGCATTATAATTTGAATTTAAAAAAAATCCTAAGATAAATTTCTTAATCATAGTTTAATAAACAAATTAATGCCCACTTATGCAACTTTAACTAAACTAACTACAAAAAAAATTAATTTTTCATGTAAATTTTGAATGTTTCTACATTAACATTATTTCCAAAAATATCTACATATATATAAGTTAATTAAGTTTTTGCAATTAAACTAATTAAATTGGTTATTTATTCAAAGTTTTATATAATAAATTGAGTTGGAGTAATAAATAAATTGCTGTAGTAAATATTTTGGGACGTGAGTAAAGTAAGTTATAAATTATTTTTGTCTCCGAATATTTCTTCTTTTTATACTATGTTAAAATTAACCTTTAAGTGCACCCAATAAGCACTTCGTAGGGTGAAGTGAACAAACCTGCTATTTATTTTATATACCTGCAAAATACAAATAAAAATATTATGCTGAAAACTTCTAAAAATTTTTTTAAAATAAATTTATAATTTCAAAAAGAATAAATGTTTCTATATAAAACTTACTAAAATAGAAAAGCTTACCTATTCATTATTAAATTATATACATATTTCTTTAGCGTTTTGTTTGCATATGCAATCCTGTTTCTTGGAAAATTTACTGCTTTATTTCTAGAAAATCAATGCTTTAAATACTTAAAATCTTCAGTTTTAGCACTTTGGGTACTTTTATTCACCTTTGTAATTATTTAAGCAATAAATTCAGGCTGTATTTAATATTTTAAAGCGTAAAGAAAGATATTTTAAAGTTAAACACAAACAAAATATAAAATAGATAAATCATGAAGTATGTAATAAGAAAAGTAAGTTGAACCGTTCAATAAATGCAAGTTGAACCGCCAATTAATCAAATTAAATAAAAATTAAACATAACAACAATTACAAATGTGTAATATAAATGTTGGCAAATAGACAGTTTTATTGTCGTTCAAAGAAAATATTTAGTTAATGACTTAAAAATAGTGGAAATAAATTTTACTTTAAGCGAGTTTTTTACATAAAGCGGAAATAAAATTATATTAAACGAGTTTAAAATTACACTAAATGAAAACAGGTGCGAAAAATAAAATTTACATATGTATATCAAAATTATATAGCAAGTGGTTACGCTATATAAAGGATTGTTATACATATATTTGAATATTTCATCAACACAACGCAAACGCAGCAAAGTCAACATAAACAAAATTATTTTGTAATATTGGGCCTATGTGCAAGTATATTGATATATGTACAGATTATATCTGATTAATATTTCGTTATTACTAATCCTTTTATCAAAGCGACAAATAGAAACTATAAAACACTACTCAAATTAAGAAGAGCTTTTTATTTAACCGTTTTGATCAGTGTATAGGTTAAATTAAAATAGTAAAAGAAATTTCTATCAACCGACTCGTAACTTTGATAGCAGTAAATTCATAAACAAAATAATAAACAGGAAGGTTTTTTTTTAGACTTGTATTCACCTTGAATTTTGTGCATTAACACAGTTCTTCTTTTATTCTCCGGCCATGTAATCTTATTATTTATAACACAAAATGCATATGTATTTTGACTTTTCGTTTCAAAACTTTTGAAAACTGAGTTGAAGCTTTTTTTTCAATAATGGTTAATGGCTTTCATATTGGTCATTTAAAAACCGGCTTTTAAATAGTTAGATAAATTAATAGACGATTAACGGGAGCCGGACCGAGCCTACTTCAGCTCACAACTATTTATACCATATCAAGCGATTAATACTACATGTTCATCAAATAATTGCAAAATTTCCTTTTATGCATAAGTCAAATACAGAAAAATTAAAAAAAAACGACTGACCTATATGATATTTCATTTTAGTACCAAAATATTATTATTAACATTTTACTTTTCGTTAGTCATAAGCGATTTATTCATTCGCTTCGTCGTTATTATCGAAATATAATTATATCGTCGTTAAATCGAAATATAATTATATCCTCGAAAAAATTTATTCCAAAAATCCACTCATGGAAACTGACATAGCATGTACCAAACTTTCTTTTACATTAACCCACATCTGTTAAAACTGGATGTGGCAAAATGAGAACGTTTATTAGACTGAAATAGTTTTAGTTTAAAGCTTTAGGTGAGACACGGACAATTGTTTTGGGATAAAAATTGACAATTAATATTTTGATAACAAATATTTAAGTCTCAGTTTAATATAAACTTATATAAATAAACTTTTATGTATATACAGAATTAAATATATTATGTACATATAAATATATACTTATAATAAAAATTGTGCCACAAACTTTAAATAAAAATAATCAGGATAGTTCAGTAAGCCTAATAATTTTTCAACGTTTAATTTGCCTTTTGCAAGTACATAGTATTTAAAAAAGTTTATTGTAGTATATAGGTACGACTTAAAATTTTCAAAAGTGTTTATATCGATTTAGCAAAATCAAAAAACGGCTTTGATAAAATATTGAACGGTTTTACTTTTAGTGGAATGAATATGTGCACATTATTTAACAAAGGCGATTCATTAAAATAAATTTTATAGGTAATTTAATTAATAAAGAAAATATAAGAAGGCAAATAGCCCTCTTTAGTTATTCCCATTGTAGTTTTTATAGCTATAAAGTTCAAAAAAAAAACCAACAACCTAAATCAATGGAATAGTAATAGACATGTACATACTGTTGTATTTACTTTAATTAATATATGTATTTGCAAATTCAATACAATTGCTCGAAATCATAATAAAATTTTATAAAATGGTTAATTTAATGTTTTCAAATTAAATCATAAAAAACTCTTTACTATTGATAAATCAAATGCGATTAAGTATATACATTTTTTTTCCATTTAGGCGATCAATAAATAGACTACGTACATACATAATAATATCGGAACAATAATTATGGTATTAATATGTTCTGAAGTCTTTGTGAATCGTGGATATTGTTGTTTTATCACAAAAAGAAAGAAATTTTCTGGACTTTGAACTTTAATAGCTAAAAATAAGAAAGCTTTCAATGAAGTTGTGAAACTCGCAGTACAATATTGTCCATTTTTATGGTATCTATAATAACCTATTTACCTCTATATAATGTAATGAACACGGATTATCATTTTCACAATTTTGTTTTATACTGTTTAAAAGCAAATAGTTTTACCGGTATTTATCGTAAATAAACCCTATGTTGTTTGAATACCACCATATTTCAAATAACATATATAAATGATTTTAATCATATAATATGCTTTTGTAAAATTGCAAACATATAGGTATCAGATATGTGTATTGGAATAAGGGAATATCCACAAATATTCCCTTATTAAACGTTTTAATTACTTTATTGTTACTTAAGTAAAGTTTATAGAGTTATTGATTGAAAATTAAAAAAGAAAATTTTTAATTCTCATACTACTTCTTTTTGGTTATGTCATTGGGTTAATCCTATAATGTAGTTAATTAGGGTCTTTGTTCCTTTTATGCTAAGGAAGCATTATAACGTGGTTGGAAAATTAAAATTGCAAGCTGGTACATGAACAATATTCTTTTCTACTGTGCATATTTTTCTAAAATAAAACCTTACGTTTATAAGGTGAAATTAGTCAGTACTATTTTATGTGTGAAAATAGAATTTCATAGAGGTTTGAAAGACTAATAAACATATGATTTAATCAAATGTAAAAATAAACTAATGTAATTAATGTCAACACATAATTTTATAATATTATTATTAAATAAATGTCAATTGTTATTACACTTCCATTAAACATAACGATTTACATAAAGGTTAAAATAATTGTTTGGATCATTTATATCTTTGGATATGTTTTGGATTGTACTTTCAGCTGATGAATTTTATATATGTATGCATAGATATGTATGTACGTATATACACTTATAATTTTATATAATATATAAAAAAAATTGAAATTAAGGAGAAAAAAATCTGTTCTGCACGGACTCAATGTCTAAAAAACTTGCAAAACGGCCCTTAAAAAATACCTCAACGTAAAAAATTCTAAAGGGTTCTAGAACTTTTGTTTAAGAATATGTTTTAAAATTGATCCAGAACTCCTTGTGTAAATCTTCGTGTTTATCGAAGTAAATTATATATGAATGGCAAACTAGGCAAACAGGGCCTTGTTGAATTGAAATAATATAAATAAAATAACACAGTGAAAAAATCAGTTTCTAAAAATAAATAATAACAATAAAATATTATATACTATACATGCAATGTTTTTTGAGAATAATGCCCTACAACTTCTATATAAAATTTTGATACTATCTCCAATGATCATAAATTTTGATTAGATCTATTCTGTTAAAATTACCGCGTAGAAATCTCTTGCACGTAAGGTGCTCTTATGCATAGCCACATATAACCACAACGCATTAAATTAACAAGTATGTAATATAAGAAGGTTACAAGTTTTTAATTCAACTGTTGCGCAATGTGAAATAAAATAATTTTGTTTACAATTCATAAAAATTGAACATTCATCAAATATGAAATATCAAATTATAATTTCCTCATATTCGTGAAGCAACGTAAACATAAAAAAAATATGCATACATACATAGTGTGTATGTATATTATATGTATGTCAGTTAAAACTTTGGTTTTCATCAACATTTTTCTTTATTAACATGGAAACTTATTCAAACTTTTGACTGATCATAAATATTCGTATATTTACGTAATATGCATATATAATATTGCACAGCTATTTAAAAAAGAGCATTAATATTATTTATCTTTTCTAATCATTTCCGTACACTTTGCATATTTTGCTTTTCTGCATATTTTGCAAAAAATTGCAAATTGCGTAAACTCGCTAATTTTAAAGAAGTTGTTAAAATTGTATCACTTCTTTAATAATCGGGTTAGAACTGCTTCTTTCTTACGAAGTTGAACAACCAGCAGACGTTTTCTGTTAAATGTTCAGTTTTCTGTATACAACAAACGTGCAATATTATGAAAGGTGATTATCATTCTGCAAAACTTGCATACACATATACACATACACAAATTTGAAATAACGAACGTTGCATGACTTTATGAGGTATATTGCATCGGGAAGTAATTTTTATAGTTATTAATTTATTTAACTCAAATAGTTACTTAAAACATAAACTCAAAATATACGAAATTAATTGCTATAGTTGTTTTGTACGACTAATTATTCTTAATTTATAGTAAGTTAACAATTAATACATGTTTATAATAATATTTTTAGTTTAACCTATGATCTAATATTTAAGAATTTAAATAAGATTTGTATTTTAGTACATACTGATTTGTACTCATTGTGAAAAACAATAAATAAAAATGTTTATTTTATTGAACTGGTCATTATTAAAACTATATCGTGCCGCGAATAAATAAAAGAATTCAAATAACATTAAAACAATTGAAAAAAATTAAACCAACCCTATGATTTTCTTTGATTCCTTAGCGTCCACGTTTAATAAAATTTACAAGTTTGATGGCAAGCACTTCTGTTCCTTTTTTTAAATTACAGGTGCCCTGTCTACATTGAAAACTAAATATTTAACAACAAATTTTTAAAACAATGTTTGATTAAAAAAGTTATCCCTAATATTTAAGTGAACAAAAATTCTACCAAAATAAGAAAACACTAGAAATCTCCAAGCACATTTTGCAATATTAAATTTGTTGAAGCAGAAATGAAATAAAAGCACGCATTTGAA